AGTCCATATAGCAATAGAACTTAAGACTTACATACCGCTTCACAGGGCTTTTACAGCCGTCTCTAACCGGTTTACAGAGTCAGCCTGTTGCCCCCAACAATTTGGGTCCTCATTTTACCCACCTTGGAAGGAAGGATGGAAGGCTGAGTCAACCTTGAACCTGGTGAGATTTGAACTGCCAAATTGCAGTCAGCCAGCAGTCAACAGAAATAGCCTGCAGTAGTGTACTCTAACCGCTGTGCCACTACAGCTCAAATGCTTAAATAGACTCTGTAAGTCCAATTTTGGATAGCAATAGCCCCTTAGACTTCTATACCTCTTCACAGTGCTTTACAGCCGCCTCTAAGTGGTTTACAGAGCTGGCCTCTTGCCCCCATCTGGGTCCTTGTTTTACCGACCTCGGAAGGTTGGAAGACTGAATCCATCTTGAGCCAGTTAGAATCGAACTCCAGATAATGGGCAAAGTTAGCCTGCAATGCTGCATTCTAACAGGAAGGAAGGAAGGAAGGAAGGAAAGGAAGGAAGGAAGGAAGGAAGGAAGGAAAGGAAGGAAGGAAGGAAGGAAGGAAGGAAGGAATGAATAACATTTACACTTACCTACCGCTTCACAGTGCTTTCCAACCCTCTCTAAGCGGCTTACAGAGTCAGCCTCTTGCTCCCAACAATCTGGGTCCTCATTTTAACCACCTCGGAAGGATGGAAGGCTGAGACAACCTTGAGTCTTCATCCCTAACCGTTGGTCATTCCAACTGGGTTTGATGGTAATCAAAAGTAGTTGGTCTGGCTGTGAGCATCTAACTCTGTTCTAATATATTCTACTCAAGCACTCCTGGTTGCTACTCCTTTTTTTTTTCCTCCCCTCTTTTGTTATCGAGAATCAAGAGGATATAAACAAGAGGTTCCCTTGTTCAATTCCTCATGTTTATACGGAAAAACAGATGTTCTGTTTGGGGCAAATATTCTTGCATAATTTGCCCCCTGGAATAGAGAGTCTTCTATAATTATCCAGTTGATTATCCAGGCCATTTAATTCACTAGAGGATTTTAAACACTTTTTTTTTTTCTGGAGAGAAATCCGTGCAAAGGTCTGCAGCCAGTTCATCAAAATGAAGTTGAACGTAAAGCCTTTTTTTTCCTTCCCTTGCTTATCTTCCCTTGTTTGTTCCAGTCTCTTGGTGTTTATTAGCCTCTTAATAGGGTGGCAGGTGGGAGATCTGGTTTAGAGTTAGACCCTTTGGCATTCTAAAAGGCAGCCATTGAGGTGGGGTAATTCATCCTGTTTTCCTTCATCATTTCTCCGAGATTTCACTCTTTATGTGTCAGGATTCCAACGATTGCCCTAATTAAATCATGAGCCTTGAGCCAAACTTCAAAAAGCTTCAAAGACTTTATTAGGAGTGACTTATTGGCATGACTTGGATGTAGCCGATTCTGAGACACGTAATTCACTGTCACCCTTGACCCTGGTTTTCCCCCACCCCCCACCCCTCTGGGTGTATCATAATCGCGTCGCTTGCATTGTGAATAACATGAGGGTAGTGAGGGGAGGGGGGAAAGGACGGAGGCGGGGAACTTGCCCCACACGCCCCACGGGTCTGGCCTGGCCACCGGGCTGCTTCTTTCCGCTTCTTTCTTCTTCTGCTTTTGGCTGCACGCAAGGAAAGCAGCAAAAGTCTTTCTTTCTTTCCCCCCAACTCTGCCAGAAATGAGTCTTTGGGACCCTGCAAGGCCTCCTGCTCCAAGAGGCTGCGCCAGCACGACAAGTCTCACAAAGACTCATTTCTGGCAGAGTTTGGGGGAGAGAAAGAAAGACTTCTGCGGCTTCTGCTGCTTTCCTTGCATGAAGCCAAAAGTCTTTCTCTCTCTCTCTCTCCTGAGGACGGAGCTGGAGACGATATCCTGCGATCCCAAATAAAGAATGATCGATCCGTAGGAAAATAGGCTGGGGAATTTTCCTGCAGACTTTTTGGGGGGGATTTTCCCAGGGTCTCTGTTCCATGAGATTTAAAATGATGAGTTTGGTGGTCCCTGAGATCCCAAAAGGTTGGCATCCCTTGGTGTAGGGTCTCCTCCTTGGGTGGGGGGGTTGGACTAGATGACCTACAAGGTCCCTTCCAACTGCTAATCATCTGGTTTACCTGGGAAGGCTGACAGAACAGGTAGTCCTCGATTGACCATCATGATTTCGAGCCCAAAATTTCTGCTGTTGAAGCTCAGCGAGTTTCTTGCTCCATTGTTAAGCAGTTGATAAGTTAGCCACCCGATTGTTAAGTGAAACTGACATCCCCGTTGGCTTTGCTTGTCAGAAGGTTACAACAGGGGATCCCATGGACACAGCAGTGGTCATAAATCTGAGCCAGCTCCCAGGAGTCTGAACTTTAACCACGTGGTCACGGGGATGCTGCAGAACTTACAAAAAAATATGAGGGTTAACACTCCAGAGGGTTAATGTCATTGCCCAGAGGATCATGGGTTGTCCTCTCCCCTCTTTGGAAGAGCTTTATGGCTCCCGCTGCCTTAAGAAAGTTCAAAACATCCTCAAAGATCCATCTCATCCTGGGAACCCCCCTTCTTTTTTTTGCACTATTACCATCTGGCAGACGGTGTCAACTCCTAAAATATTTCTCTAGTTTTTTAGAGTTGCCAGCAGAAAGGGAGGAGGAAGCAATGCAGCAGCTTGCAAAACCAAAAGTGCATTCCCATAAATGTTTTCATAGATAGTTTCTAGGCGACTGAAGTTTTCTGCAGCGCAAAATTCTAGCTGGAGAGCAAGCATGATGGATGACTCTTGGCTATGGATATGTCCCATTGGAGAATATGAATTATGATACACCCAGGGGGTGGGGGAAAACCAGGGTCAAGGGGGACAATGAATGATGTGCCTCAGAGTTGGCTACACCCAGGCAGCGCTGGACATTTTAACTCCCAATAAATCCTTTTGAAGTTTTGGAAATTTGGCTCGAGACTCATGGTTTAAATGGGGGTAACTGCCAGAATCCTGAGAGATGGTCCACGATAATAAAAACAAGGACAAACAGGCTGAAAAACAGTTTCTATCCCAGGGCAGTAACTCTATTGAATTCTACTGTATAGGGCAATATTAATGCAATATCAGGGGTTTTCAGTTCAATTGTACAGAATGTGAAGGATGTGTGTTTGTGTTTTATTTTCATAGTCATAATGTGCACTGGTATTTAATTTCATTGTACGAGGTGCAATGACAATAAAGCAAAGTAAACTAAACTTAACTTGTGAAAAACGGTCCTCAGTCCCTTTTTTTGGGTCACTCAATGAATGGTTTTAAGTCCAGGACTGCCTATAAAGCACAAATCAAGATAATTTGCAGTTGTGGGGGGCTGGTTCTTATTTCTGCCTTTCATTGATGACTTTATTAGGCCTCCTATAGAAGGTGGAGTTTCCGAAGTTGAAATAATTTCCCAACAAATAGAAGAAGAGACCAGGAGCGTCGCGCCAGTACAGCTGGTTAATTTCGCCTATCGGGACTTACCTCTGGCAGCCCTAGATTTGTCTGTAGCAGGTTCGCAGCTCTTGTCCAATTTGGATGAGGAATACCAGCGAGAAGGGTAAGCGCACATTTCTACTTGCTTTTAACTCCCCGAATTTTTTTCTTTAAAAAATATATATATTCCGGTAATTTAATTTACAGAAAAGGAACTTCTCTTTTTGTGCTGTTATACAATCGTTGTCCTTATCGCTGGATCCATCCTCAGGCAACTTCGGTTGTGCGTTGTTACTCTTACCCAATCATGTTTGTTTGTTTAGAGTTCTTAAGATTAGGATATTCATGCCTTACCAGGGAAAAAGGGTTTGTTTATTGTTGTTTTTGTCGAACCCAAGACTTTAGTTTCTGACTTTTGACGAGTTTTAGTTCGCTGTCTTAATTAGAAACAGGAGGTTCCGAAAAGCTGTTTTCTTGTGTATATTGTATATTATGTGTAATGGGAAAGAATGGTTATAAAATGCTTTTAGGCAGGGGTGACTTTTGGGTTCGTCAAATGCTTTTAGGCCAGAAATGTTGGCTGGGTAAATGCAGCAGAGGACAATTCTTCTAAAAAAGAGCTTAAATGAATGTAGTTCAGCGATAGAAATACATCCATTGTCCAAAAAGAAAAAAGAATGCTTTTTTAAAAAGGGAAAGTCCTCGACTTACAATCACCATTGAGTCCAACATTTCTGTTGCTAAGTGAGACATTTGTTAAGTGAAGCTTTAGTCCCATTTTATGACCTCCGTTGTTAAGTGAATCATTGCAGTCAATAAACTGAGTAACATTTTGCTCGTTAAAGTGAATCTGGATTTCCCCATTGACTTTGCTTGTGATCTGCAAAAGGGGGATCACCAGATGACCTTGGGACACAGCAACGGTCGTAAGTATGAGCCAGTTGCCCAGCATGCGATCATAGGGATGCTACAAACGTCGTAAGTGTGGGGAACGATCATAAGCCCCCCTCATTCAATGCCATTGCAACTTTGAATGGTCCCGAAACAAACTGTTGTAAGTCGTGGACTACCTATATATTTAGTTTGTGGACTTAAGTCAGGGGTCTCCAAACTTGGCCACTTTAAGACTTTGTGGACTTCAACCCCCAGAATCCCCCAGCCAGCATAGCTTACTCTCTTGTAACCCCTTCCTCTGCAATCTCTCTCCACTTTAGGAGGTTAAGAGAAAAAAAGAAACAGACACGGCTGGCTGGCTGGAGAATTCTGGGAGTTGAAGTCCACAAGTCTTTAAAAGTGGCCAAGTTTGGGGACCCCTGACTTAAAGGTTGATGCATGCCCTTTTGTTAAACGGGATGCTGTTGTGGAGACTGTGTTGTGCTGAGCCAAACTCCGTGTCCTTCCGCGTGGCACGTGGGGCTGCCTTTGGTGGCATCCCGTCCCTTTCCCCCTTCTCCAAGTCACGAAAGCGGAAACTGTGACATCTGCTAGCAGCTTGAGTTGGAGTGTTTGTAGTGGCTCATTACCAGAATATTATGGTAATCTTTTCCCTCTCTCTGTGTTCGCTGTTGAGCATTCGCTTAAACAGCGGCATATTGCAAAAATTGTCAGCTGGTCATAGGATGGGCTTTTGTACACAGGGAAAGGCTGTTTTGTGAGGTGCACCTTTCTCCTCCCCCACCGTAAATTGGCATTACTGATGTTCCCCTCTTAGCATATTTATTTTAAAACCTCTCCGTTTAAAATAAATGCATAAATAGATTTATATCAGGGATCTCACATAGCAGCTTGCTTTTTAAAAAAAAAATCGCAAAATTATATTTATTTCCATAAACGCTCCTTTGCTGATTAAATTGGTTTGATCTTTTCCTTCGAAAAACGTTCAATTTGTTTTAGAATTTGCTTGATCAAAATGGTGCCTCTTTATGTATCTTACTTAAAACTGGAAAGAAATTTCTCTCTCTTTTTTTTGCAATTTATATCTAGACAGTTCTGGGAACCGTCTACCAGGTAAAATTCAGGCCTCTTCTACCACTTATCTAGCAACTGGAAATGTGTCTGATGGATGTTTTGATGGTTCTTTGGTTGTAATCCTTTTAGATGTCTGTGTTTATAATAATACACCACTTTTAAATGACGGTGTAATTTACAAAATACACACTTCTTACTTACATCCCTAAAGAACGATCTACATACATTTTGTAAGTGAAGACTTTAAAAACGGGATTTTTCTAACCAACCCTGATCTTTAATCGTATCTTTTTGTTGGTAGTAATTTCAGACCCATTCCAATGTCTTTATTTCTCCCCACTTGTTTTATTTTTGTTTTTAACCAGGTGAGCCCCAGTTAAAATTCCAGCTTTATATTCCACAGTGGCTTTAAACACAGGCATCTCTGCCATCTACTGTCCATTCTGGGGAATTTTTAAAAATCACAGAATTAGAATAAATATTTAGGACTGACAAATAAAGAAATGAAACAGGAACCTAGATTTTATCCTCTAGAAATATTGACGGGAGGAGGATGCGGTTATTTATTTTTAAATGTAAGTAGATCATTTGGTAGCTACACTTTTAGAAAATACTGCAACGAACATCACTATAACTCCTGCGTATCTGTAATTAGCCCCCAGTTTTTGATAGATGGCATTTGAAGTCCTGAGAGAATGACTTGGGAACTTTATTAGTAAATTTTGGGTCCGAGTTTGGTGCTCTCTGTGTTCTGTTACATTATGTAAAGACTTCATAATAATTTGCTCTAGAACATTAAGTCCTGTAGAGAAAGAACACGTTCGCTTGCGTTGGCAGAAGTTTCAAGGAAGAGTAAATGCTTTGCATACAGAAAGGATTCCTGTTCAATCAGTTGTTGGTGTCTGAAATTAAAATTTGCAGGTAGCCAGCGATGGAGAAGACCTCTGCAGTAAACTGATCTTCACCGCTGGCTAAAACAATTTAGTGCTTCGATTCGGTATAAGGCAGCACGCATTGCCTTCACCGTCATTACTTTACTCATACAAAATGTCAAAGCGTAGGAATAAACGACGCAGGAAACTGCAAGGAGCAGTAATGTTTACTTCCATGCCTTGTTTGTTTGGATGCTGAAGTTGTATGAAGAATTTGGTAGGCTTCCTACCTGGGTGCTCCTTGATCCTCTGAAAAATAAAAATCGGAAATTCCCGTTCACACACCCCGTGAAATGAAACAATCGGATTTGCAAGTCATCGAAGAAGGTCGCTTAATCTAGATGTAGAAATGCTTTTCAGTTTTTAGACCTATCTAAAGGAGTCCTAGGTTCTGATGGCTACTGGCTTTCAAGGACAGTTGGATAAGGTCAGGCGGGAAAATAAAGCTGGTAATGGATAATAATTCCACTTTTGAAAGCCACGTGACTTTAAGCTGCTTTGGCTCACCTCTTGGAGAGATGGATGGCATATAAATTTAATTAATAAATAAGTACCCACTAAGGGTGACGATCAATAGCTGTGGGTTCTTGAGCTTGTACCTTCTTCTGGTCTTCTAATTGCCAAGTGCATGGCCTGAATAAAAGAGTAGCTGGAGTAGAAAGACCTTCAACGTCCCTTCCAGCTCACTCATTCTATTCCTTTGGTCTGATCCTGCATTGTTTCTCTTCGCTATCTGCGCATTTTGTACAAAAAGGAACCATTGGGGGTTGAATCCGGACTCTCGACTTATTACACGGAGAAATTTGCAAACTGGACGCAGTGAACACGGCACGTTCACTAAGTAGATGGGTCGAGTAGATATGTACCATAAAGATACGTTTCATTAAGGTTATTGTGTGGTGCTGATTTAGGGGCTGGATGAGGACCAAGTATGGAAGCTCCGTGGATATTTTGTCCAGTCGCATCCTTTCAGCCCAACTATTTACGATCCCTGTTACAGGGGTGAAATGAAATGAAGTTTGCATCCTGCATCCAGAAGGAAAGGCGGGATATAAATTTGATCGAGAAGAGAAAAAAATTAAAAGAGAATAGAATAGAAAATAGAAGAATAGAATAGAATTAAGAATAGAGTAGAATAGAAAATAGAATAAAATAGAAAATAGAATTAGAAGAATAGAGTAGAATAGAATAGAAAATAGAATAGAAAATAGAAGAATAGAATAGAATTAGAAGAATAGAGTTGAATAGAATAGAAAATAGAATAGAAAATAGAATTAGAAGAATAGAGTAGAGTAGAATAGAATAGAGTAGAATAGAATAGAGAATAGAATAGAATAGAGAATAGAATAGAAAATAGAAGAATAGAATAGAAATAGAGTAGAATAGAATAGAATAGAAAATAGAGTAGAAAATAGAATAGAAAATAGAATTATAAGAATAGAATAGAATAGAATAGAATAGAATATTGAAAGAATAGAATAAGAAATAATAGAATAGAAAATAGAATAGAAAATAGAAAATAGAATAGAATGAGAAAGAATAGAATAGAATAGAATAGAATAGATAGAATAGAATAGAATAGAATAGAATAGAATAGAATAGAATAGAATAGAATCTTTGGAGGTCTTCTAGTCCAACCCCCTGCAAAATAAGAACGGACTCCTAAATACCGCTGGCTGCTTCTGTCTTGCTCTTCTTTACCTGCCTGCCTTTTTCTCGTCTGTCTTCCTCTTCTTCCTCCTTCCCTCTCTTTTTCTTCCTTCAGATCTAACTGGCTTAAGCCGTGCTGTGGGAGGCGAGCGGCCGTCTGGCAGGTATTTTTGCTCAGTGCGAGCCTCAACAGTTTCCTGGTAGCCTGTGTAGTTTTGGTGGTGATTCTTCTGACCCTGGAGCTCCTAATAGATATAAAGCTCCTCCAGTGTGAGTAGCAGGCCTTTATCGTTGCTTTTTGGGGGTTTTTGTTTTGTTTTTTCATTCCTGGAATGTTTGAGCAAACCATAGGATACAGGCAGTCCTTGGTTTACAACAGCCCGTAGAGTGACCGTTCGAAGTTACGACGGCACTGGAAAAAGGGGAATTATGACCCTTTTTCATATTTACAAAGACTACCTGTATGCCATGGCATAAAACCTCATGCAGCTACAAAGGGGGAATAAAAACGATTATTCAGACTGGTTTTATTTGAATATTGTTTCTGTTTTCCCTCCTTTTTTTTTAAACAGCAGCAGACATAACCCTTATATCCTCGCATTTGCAGATTTGTGTGTTTCTGTGTTATTGCTTTTCCAGCATAAAAACACACCATTTTGTTCGGTGTTTTCAGGATTTGAAAAGTTTAAGAAACAACACTTAGATGGTGTTTTTTTTGGTCATAAACTTTTTTATTTTATTTAACAAACATTCCATCTTTTCTTTGTACAATGTGTCATCTGGGTGCATATATCTTGTGCATACTATTTGTGGTTAATACAGTTTCCTTACCATAACAACAACAATTACATTACATTCTTATTTTGAACTAGTATACATAATATATCTTATCATTATAACCATCCCCTTCATAACTCCTTCCCCTCTATGTTCCTATATTCATGTATGTTTATATATATATATATGTATGTATGTATGTATGTATGTATGTATGTTTTCTTAAGTTTTCGCGGGTACTTACATGTATGGCATTCAGCTTTGTTCGGGTATTTTCCCACGTCATTGTAGTTGTTCTTTTAAAGTTGTCGCAACGTTTCAGCAGAATCTCATCTGCCATCATCAGGCTTCTGTGAACAGATGAACACTATACAGAAGTCTGATGATGGCAGATGAGATTCTGCTGAAACGTTGCGACAACTTTAAAAGAACAACTACAATGACGTGGGAAAATACCCGAACAAAGCTGAATGCCATACATATACATACATACATACATACATACATACATACATGTGTGTGTGTGTGTATATATATGTGTATATATATATATATGTATGTATATATGTATATATATATATACACACACACACACACACTATGTTCATATATTTAATTTCTAATTTCCATTTTTCTTTTCCAACCATTGATAAAGTGATTCCTATATCATATAATATTCAGTTTGTTCTTTTCCTTTAATTGGCCAGTGTTAACCTATTCATTCCTGCACGTTCAACACTTGGATGTTGTTTGTTATTTGCCTTTCTTTTGGTTTGGGGCTAGTTCCAGTGAAATTCTTGCTGTCAGTTCTGGAATGTACGTGTGTACGTGTTTTGTGTGTGTGTGTGTGCACGTTTACACGTACATACACAAACATACGCCCCTCTTCGTGTCGGCTTAATGCTTATATCGATTTTGTCTTCTTATGGCCAGGAGGGTTTTCTGTGCATTTTGTTTGCAATCACTGTCATATTCTCATGTTATGGTAATAGGTGTGAGCTCAACAAGATTCAGGAAATCCTTCTATGAAAAGAAAGGCTTCCTTATGTTGGAGGTCGCAGTATGGAGCAAATATTGCCTCCTTCAAACCTGTTCGTTTTGCAGGATCCAAGCTGGGTCATTCATAGAGACCAAAGACTTAATCTTCTGAGCTTTAAAGTTTGAAATTCCCCAAGGACTAAAACCCTGGTCCCAAAAAATGACCCAGATTGGATCTTGAAACATTATCCTGAGACACATATATTTGCCTTCATTCATGTTCGTTTTAAATCAAGAGGTCTCCAAACTTGGCAACTTTAAGACTTGTGGACTTCCAACTCCCAGAATTTTCCAGCCAGCATAGCAAGTTTGGGGACCCCCGTTTTAACTCATAACCTGATGTTCTGGAAATTCCCCTAAATCCTTTATTTATCCTTAAATAATCCTTTATTTCCCATAATATCGTCTGAACTAACAGCGTGCTGTGAGGCCAGCTTGCCAGGGGAAAACTCCACGCGGGACAAGAGTTGCATTAATATCAAAGAAATGGTGAAAGAGAATCATTAAAAGAAAGCAGGGGCAGAATGAAATGCAAATGACAAAAATTAAAACACTTTTTAAACTTTTCATTTAAATAATTCAATTGAAGTATTACATTGTGCCGTAGAGGGCTGGCCATGAAGAGATGCCCCATTCCTCTCTCTTATCAGACTATCAATATATGCTCTCTTGTTTTTACTGATGCCTTCCCTGTATCCATCTTAAGGTTTCTGCGACTTTCGAGGTTTGAGCTTTGCAAAATGGGGATATTAATTTAAGAATGAGAAGGAAAACGGACAGCTGCTTTTAACTTTAAAATACATTTTAAGACTGGCCGTTCTATGCGTTGCGCACCTCCTAGGGCTCGTGGGATGTGTTGTTGCCAGGGTGGGAGGTGAGGGGGGTTATTATATTATTTTATTAATTTATTATGTGATTATTCTCTGCTATTAGTTTTATTGTTTTACATATGAGGTTTTTACATTTCCGTAAGACGCCTCGAGTCACCGAATAGGTTGGCAATACAAATTTCCTAAAATAAAAATAAAATAAATATCTAACTTGCTTTTTTGTCCTTAATTGTAGTTTCAAGTGCATCTCAGTTTGCTGGCATCATTCACTGGATCAGTCTGGTTATCCTATCGATCTTCTTTTCAGAGGTAAGAGAAACACAAATTGTTACTGTACGGAAAAGAAATATGGCTGAATTTTCTTAGAGGAGAAGTTTTTTTTCCCGATCCTTCAGTAAACATATTTTTAATTGGGACTTTGGGGTTTCAGAAGAGGCTTCCCCTAACTAATTTTAATGTTCCAATGGTGGAGGGAAGACCAGTGTACAGATCCCAATTAAGAACAGAGAATGTCCTCGTCAGTCTCTTGAGACGAGAAAGAAAGAGCCATAAATAGCTGCTTTTATTGACAGATGCTTCTTCCATTGTCACTTGAAGTGTTGAAATGAGTGGCACGATCAATAGAAAGGATTGGCCTCTACAGTGTTCCAGAGGGCTTAGTTGTGGCATTGTCTGCAATTAAAGACATCTCACTTAATGATTAGAATTAAAAACATCTTGACTAGCGCTGGGGATGGTTGCCTAGTTTGGGTCATGAAATGTCTGCGAGAAAGCAAGCTCAGAGAGCACCAAGTAGCCCACAATCCTCCCGTACTTCTTTCTCTTCATCTACCATTTCCTCCTCCTCTCCAAGAACCCACCTCCCTTCTAGGACTGATGATGTTACCTAGCTGGATAATGAAACGTCTGCAAGAAAACCACCAAGCTCAGAGAGCACCAAGTAGCCCACAATCCTCCCATACTTCTTTCTCTTCCTCTTCCATTTCTTCCTCCTCCTCCAAAATTCCACCTCCCCTCCAGCACTGATGAAGTTACCTGGTTGGGTAATGAGATGTCTACAAGAAAGCAACCAAGCTCAGAGAGCGCCAAGGACCCCACAATCCTCCTATACTTCTTCCTCTTTCTCCTCCTCCTCCAAAAAACCACCCTCCCTTCCAGCACTGATAATATTAGCTACTCGGGTAATGAAACGTCTGCCAGAAAACAACCAAGCTCAGAGAACACCAGGCGCTTCCCAAAGGCATCTCAACCTGCCATCATACTCTTAACACCTCCATTTTTCTCCCTTCTCTCTTGGAATTTAATTTGCAGCTTCTTTGGTGCAGAGGTGTAGTCTTCAGGTTGTGCTATTTACATTAAAAGTGCCGCAAAACCAGCTTCCTCTAAAACGTCACAGGTGCATGGATCCAGTACAATCCAAGAGGATATTATTTTAGAGTTGTCACCATTTGAAATGTGTAGCAAATCGAGTGTAATCCTCTGTGGGTTATTATTATTTTTTCTAATGGTAAACTTCCTAGAACTTGTTCTGCCTCAGAAAAGCGCAAGAAATTTAGAACCCAGAGTAGTTGAAAAGGCGTCAGATCTCTGCACACACGGCCCATGTATACCAAATCGTTTAAACCAGGGGTGTCCGTGTCCAATCTTGGCCACTTTTTTTAAGACCTGTGGACTTCAACACCCAGCTGGGAGTTGAAGTCCACAGGTCTTAAAAGTGGCCAAGATTGGACACCTCTGGTTTGAAACTGTCCAAATTCTGTTAAACTCTTTATTTACAAGCTTGAAGTGCCTGCGTCTTAAGAGATTTAATTTCTCGTTGCCTGCTTGTCAATGGCCAAATTCATACTTCATTAGGAACATATTTTCTTGCCAAACTTCAAATAAGGCATGAAATTGTCTTAACAGCTGTGTTCATTTAAACCGTGGGCAGGCTCATTGTGCAGTCCTGACACCCCCACTCAATCAGCAATTGGGTTACAAATGGATCGTTTTAACCCTGGCATCATTTCAGGCTCATCCCTAATTAACCATATCACACATATGGGGACGGGGGCCTAGATCTCCCTTCCCAGCTGAACAGCCCAAAGATGACATCATCCTTTGGAGGTTCCCCCCCCAAAAAAATTAGGATTAGCCCACAGATTCCCCTCTCGCTGCTTGTTTTTACAAGGTTCTCCTCAATTTACGATGGTGGTTTGGTCATTAGTCATTGCAGTCCTTAAGCAGGTCGCCACTTTTCCGCCCTGAGAAAAACCATTTGTATTTGCAAATGGTCTAAAAATGTTTGGCAGCTTAAAATCTATGAAAGGGAGATTTATTATTTTATTATTTTTGCACTAACTTGAAAGTCGGATCTGTGGAGACTTAAAGAATTGGAGAATGGCTGCTATTAAAACATGAAAAGTTCAGTCCTCATTAGTCTGGGATTTTCCCTATCTTTTCCATTATTCCCAGAACAAATTAAAAATAGGGGAACACATTTTCCGTGCTGAGCTGCCTTTCAACACCCCCCCCCCCCCCCCCCCCAAAAAAAAAAAATTGAACTTCCAAGAACTTGGAGCATTTAAATACTGTGCTTCTATAAAAAGGAGTCCGTAATGGCAAAATACAGAAAAATCTTTGGGTCATGTTCCTTTTACTCTCATCTCTTTGACTAACATTAATACCATTGGGTCAATCATACCTTCATATTAATTTCTATCCAAAGCCGCTCCCTGTTGTTTCGACCAGAATGTATGTAGGACTTGTTGCTTTCAATTTTATTTCCCTCCCTTTAAAAATCATTCAAAATCAGAAACTTTTTCTGTGAAGAAGCCGGCCTCTAAATCCCATTGTTTTTCCGAGTTTCTTCTTTCCTTCCAATCTGATGCACAGTCCACACATACCTCACTGGCTCCTTATATGTGACGCTGAAAAGTCATGTCTGAACACGTAGTACTGAATATCAGTTGCAAGGAGCAGACAGAAGAAGGGCATCTTTCGAAGAACGGAATAAGCTTTATATATATAACTGATGTCAACATTTTTTAAAAGGAATGTGAAAATGCATAAATGCTAATTTCCTCTTTTCTCCCTCCCCCTCTTATGTTTCCCAACATGGACTCTCTCTAGACTATTTTGAGAATAGTCGTACTTGGTATATGGGACTATATTGAAAACAAAATAGAGGTAAGTCCAAAGTAACGAATTTTTTTTCCTGACCTGTCCCTCTTGGTATGCACCGCTCATGTGCTTTCTACTACCTGTTGTAGCAACCAAGTTAAAATCAAAATGCAAGGCGGGATATTCTGCCAAAACTCTAGCTCTGTTTTTGGGCCGCTATTTGGCTGTTGTTGTTTTTGGCTGTTTTTTTTTGTTTGCCGGTTCACCGAACTGCACAGAATCTTAACTACCGGTTCACAGAAACCGGTGCAAACCGACAGCAACTCACCTCTGGTCATTTACAGTCTCTTAAGTGAATTATTGTCAGTCAAGGATTACCCGGAATAGGATAATCCATTTAAAATGTGATTACAGTAAATATGACAAATGCAGTATAGGGAACATTGTGGATAAAATAACCAGTATAGATCCAAAGAAGAGGAAGGATTGGATTGCCACTCGATAATGTCAGGCACAAGAAACCAGGATCCAGGACAGAGTTCAAAATTAGTACGAGTTTACTTCCTGTTACTTATATACAAGAATCTGATCTTCTCAAGGTCAAGGCAAATTGGCACTAGGTAAGAGTCAAGGGAAGTTCACCGAGAGCTGGTCTTAGGTCTCTTGTGGCTGCACAACGATTCCAAACTGATGACACATTTGACCCCACCCTCAGGCTCAACCTGGTCTTCTCCAACAGATAACACACGTTCGAAAATAACATATACGTGATTCCCGTGTAATCCTTTTCCCATTAGGTGTTTGATGGTGCTGTGATCATTTTATCTTTGGCTCCCATGGTGGCATCGACGGTGGCTAATGGGCCAAGCAGTCCATGGGATGCTATTAGTCTCATTATTACTCTGAGAATTTGGAGAGTCAAGCGAGTTATTGATGGTAAGTCAACAGTGAATTATTGTTTTGTTTTTAACTTGGTCGTGCGCTGCCCTGAGTCACTTCGTTGGTGAAGAGGACTGGCTGTATAAATTTGAAAAAGCAACGAATAAAAATAAGCCGTTCCTTTGTTAAATGGATAAAACCTGTATCTGTTTTAGACTAATTGCGAGTGGAAAACACAGCTTTAAGCAGTTGACCCTCGCTGGGAAGATAAACAAATTCCCATTAAGTCACATGTAATTATGTGTAAAAATAATAATAATCTGCAGCAGGATGTGGAGCTAGGAAAAAGAAAGAGGCACCAACTCAGGAGCTGAGCAGTTCAACGCTTGGCAATTTTTATTTTTTTTAAAAAAGAAACCGCATGTGAAAATCCACCTGTGATCCATTAGACCAATATTTCTCAACCTTGGCCCTATTAAGATGCGTGGACTTCAACTCCCAGAATTCCCCAACTGGCTGGCTGGGGGATTCTGGGAGTTGAAGTCCACGCATCTTAAAAGGGCCAAGGTTGACAAACACTACATTAGACAATCAGAGTAGAACAGGTTTTCTGGAATGAGGCAATCTCGCTTCCATTTGCCCCCCAGCTGTCTTCCTTTTAAAATCTGTAAAGCAGATTTGAGAAGATCTGAGAAAGACTTGGAGGGTAATAGGTGATTTTGAGAAGCAGAGAGAATCTTATCTTAAAGATGGCTGTTCAGAATTATCCCCTCTTCCCAGTTCTTTAACTCACCTCATTTGTCGAGGGATGCATTGTGACCCCTTCTGCCTAGATTACTACACAGATAACGTAGGAGGTCTGCCTTCGTAGCAGCTGATAGGTAACAGAGAACAGCCTACTATCCGGTGTGAAATATCCTATTTGTACGGTTGTGATTTGTAGCCTACGTCCTACCGGTTAAAGTGGAAATGGAGATGGTGATTCAGCAGTACGAAAAAGCCAAGGTTATTCAGGACGAGCATCTGGAAAGACTGACCCACATCTGCCAAGAACAGGGGGTGAGTAAGGCACAATTATACTTTCACGCCAACGTCAAAGGTTTTTGTTCCTGAATTTTGGCTTTGCTTAAACTGAAATCAGGCAGGCAGGCAGGCAGGCTTGTTTCTGCTAATAAGCCAAAAGTCCGTGTAATAATTATATCCAATCAAATCACTGTGAGTTCAGACCGTAAAAAAATAAATAAAGTGCAACATTGACTGATTAACATTACTCATTATAATCCTCTTTTAATGACCCCATAAATCCTTGGTGGGATGGCGTCTGGGCAACCGAATAGAGCTAGCAGTGTGTTTACTGGCCGGATGCCCTTCCTGTCGCCAATGAGGAGTTTTATTCAGTAGATATATTCTCATTGTGCCCAGAGAGAGAAATATCTCCTTTTACCTAGGATCAAATTCACAGCCTCCTGATTGTGAGGCAGCAGCTCTACCTTTAGGTCATGGCACCACTCCGACTGATTAACATTACTGCCCAAGCTATGATAAAAGGGACTGAAATTGGGTTGGACCCATCAGACACCACCAAAAGGTCTTTGGAACTGCACACATCCAACACTCTTTCAGTCTTTCTTCCTCACTGCAGAAGTCCTAAACTGGATCATTAAGGGTGGACGGGTAGAATTCCTTCTTTCCTCTAGCAATATTACACTTAACTAATTTTTTTTTTTGACTGGGTCAAACTAGATCAGGTTTCCCAGTCTTTGGGAAGGGATTGCCCCAAACCTGCCCTAGGTATTGAAGAATCCTTGGGCCTCTTTCAAAACTGACAGCTTAGGGCAAGGGTCTTCAAACATGGCAAGTTAAAGACTGGTGGACTTCAACTCCCAGAATTCCTGAGCTAACATGACTGGAGGAGGAATTCTGGGAGTTGAAGTCCACCAGTCTTAAAGCTGTCAAGTTGGAAGACCCCTGATCTAACACCTAACAATCTATCATCTCTCTCTCCCCTCTATCTATCTATCTATCTATCTATCTATCTATCTATCTATCTATCTCTATCATCTATCATCTATCTATCATATCTATCATCTATCATTTATCTGTCTATCATATCTATCTATCTATCATCTATCTATCATATCTATCAATCATCTATCATATCTATCTGACATATCTATCATCTATCTATCATATCTATCTATCATCTATCATTTATCTATATCATATCTATCAATCATCTATCTATCATATCTCTGTCATATCTATCATCTATCTATCATATCTATCTGTCATATCTATCATATCTATCTATCATCTATCTGTCATATCTATCTATCTATCTATCTATCTATCTATCTATCTATCTATCTAT